CCCTGCAACAGAAGCCGACGTGGCAAGGAACAGCAAAAGGACAGTTTACGGAGGGAGCTGTGACAGGCGGCAGGGTGTGTTGGTGCCCGGGAGCTAGGACCACGGATGACCCTGCTCAGCGTTTCTGCTATGCCTGCCCTGCCCGAGGCCCTCAGGATGTGCATTTTGTAAATGCAGCATGGACTTCAGCCTTCAGCAAGTAAAGGCACTTGAGGAGTGCCGCTCTGTGCTTCCAGCTTATTAGCCAGGACAAAAGGTCCTAGAGAGAGCGTTTAAATAAAATAGAACCCAACAAGAAAGAGAGGAGCAAAAATATTTCTGAGGAGCCAGAGAAAACTTGAATCTAGTGTCAAAAGGGGAATGTTACACTGGCCAGGTTACGCATATGGAGCTGTATATGGAGCCACTGCATTGGGTGATGAGTGTGGGCTCCCATGAGGGAAATCCCACTCCACAAAGAGTAAGGGGAGTTCTCAGGAGGGTCATACTGGAAAAGTTCTGTCAGCTTCTCCAAGAGGCAGAGGTGGAGGGAGTGGTTGGCTCTCTACCCAGGAGCTCATGGGTTCACATTTAGACTTTATGTGACTAAAAGGGGTGAACTATTTTCCTGGGATGTAAATGTAAAATGTGTGGAAAGATTCCATTATCCTCTATGATTATATGTGATAATCGATGCTGCTTCTAGGAGATATGGTCACTGCTCACGTATGGCCCTGAAGACATAAGCACGAAGCTGAAGGGCACGGACATATAGGTGGCATTAGAGAACTCATGGGGTTTTTGGGCAATAACTAGGTGGTACAAAAGAGAACTGTTTTCTTAGAGTTCCTGATGGTAGAACAGTGTCCAAGGTCTTCTGCACAAGGAGAAGTGGTCCTTTGAAAATTGGAGTGACGCATATGGACAAAAATGCCACAGCCAAACAAAGTGCTTAAACTTGAATCCAAAAGGGCAAAAGCTAAACAAAGCTTCAAAACTGGGCTGGATCAAGAGACGAGATTTAGCGAGTATGAAATTGTAAATGTGTTAGC